TGATTTAGGTTTTATCAGACCACAATTTGAAATTTGGTCTATCTATGAATATGAGTGGGCGATTTTCTTTTCATATTAGGTACGATAAATCCTGCACCTGGGAACAAACGTGTCCGCTTAGAAATACTCGTCTGCGATGGGCAACAAATTAAGTCTCCTAATGAAACATCGCAGCAATTTGCCAACCGTTGTCGCTTCACTTGACAATTTGGAGGTTTAAAATAACGCACAAGTTTGTTTTCCTGGCTCTTGGCAAACACAACACACCGCCGGTAATTCCTTTTCGCACAGCTCACAACTGAAAATTTAAATTAAAAAACAAACAAAAAATTTGAACAGTATAGGGTTAAGAGTTGAGATTTCAGTCGGAGTTCAAAAGAGAGAAATGTCGAAATCACTTCTACCTTGTTATAGCTTGGTACAAGCACAGAAAAAACAATATACAGAAGACGCACTACGAACAAATTTCTTTATATTCGGCGGACGTAATATTACAACCCGGACCAGAGCAGAGAAGTTAACATCACGTCCACTATGAATAACATGGCGACCCGGAACAGAGCAGAGGCGTGAACATCACGACCACTATGAATAACATGAAGTTAACATCTCGCCACAAACACACATCGTGATCAGAGTTGCCGCGAGCATGAAAAAAAAGTATCAGTTGCCAAGCAGAAAAAGTATCAAATGCAAACAAAACTGTTACTTGTTAAACTTTTATTTAAAAAACAAATAACAAATATAATTTTGTAATTAAATCCGTAGTTATAAAAAAAAAATAGATTACTTTCGTTAAAAAAACAGAGAATCTGTATTTGCATAACGAAAAACAAACTTATAGGGCCCTTAACCACACAAAAGCAATACGCAACCCGAGACTTGTACAAGTCAATATTGTGGAAATTACTACAGAATAAAATTGCGCAAACCTTATTTTGGAGAAACGTTGCTCAAGTAAATATGTGCAAGAAATATGAATGTGCGTTGTATATTTTGATAGCTTCGGCTTTAAAACGCAAAAAAAAATAATAAAAAAAATGTTTTTTTTTTACGCTCTTATCCATATTTTACAGCACGACACCAAAATCAAAACTAGACTAAAAATTTCGCAGTTGTCGCCATACGCAAGCATGAGCAAAATATCAAAATAATTTTGATTTTAGCGCAATAACTGTGCAATTTAGTACAAACAACCCCATACACCACTCAAACGACCGACGCAAGCCCGATATTGTGCAATGTTTTTGTGTGGTTTATGGGCCGTATAACAGCGGCGTATGCAAAGAAATTCCGCGTTATGTTTCCCTTTAAGAGCTACCAATCAAATATCTATATATACATTTTGAGGCTTTAAATAGCAAAACAAAAAAAATATTTTCCTTTAAACTAGTAATATTATTCATAGTTTTCAAAAATTTATTTCTGCCATCCGAAGTATCAAAATAGGGCATTTGTGGACAAAAAAGTATCAAATCTTTCAATTTAGAAAAAAAAAGTATCAAAAATGATAAAACTATATCAAAACGGCAACGCTGATCGTGATGGAAAACGGAGTTACTTAACATATTGTCGTCATAGCGACGATGGTATTAACAGCGTCAGCCCAGTGTAAATATTGCTAAAGTAACAGAGGCAGCGCCGCTTGTGATAGCCTTGCTTGCCTCACCGCTCGTGCTAAAATTCAACTTGCTTCGATAGTCCACATGCGTCTTCTGTTACAGCGTTGCCGTTTTGGTCCGATTGGACCAAAATTGGCAGGTTCATTCTCCTTTGGTAGCTTGATTGGTTTGATGAACCTTTTGGTAGGCAAACATTTTTTGAAAAAAAAAAAAACCAAATTGAGCATTAAAATTTGTTCGCTTAATTTACGTTTACACGTTCAAAACATTGCTTTCACTTTGCTCACACGTATACGATTTCTTAGTTTTTTTTCTATATTTTATTAAGCAGACAATTTTCTGCAAACAAAAACTCACTTCCCAAAGCTATGACCGATCGGCTGGTGAAATAGAACCAGAAATTACCCATCGTCTTGAAAGAAAAATTGATGATAGGCAATTTTCAAAGTGTGAGTGCATTGGTAAAAAAAGTGTGAGTGTATGCAAATTGAAACGAATTTGGGATTTTTTTTATTGAAATGCATAAAATGTCTGATTTTGTTTTTTCACACACAAAGAAAAGTTGTTTGGTATAAATGGAATTAATCTCAAAGGTATTTAAATTTTTTTAAAAAGTTTTTGTACAATGCGTCAATTCTTTTATTTAAAGACCCTTTTAACAATAATATGTGTAGTTTTAATTTTTACTGTTAATTTGTGTAGTTAAAAACCTCGTAAATTCTCGAAATCTAGCATTATTGATGAACAAAATTTTGGTAGTTTGCAAACTGATTTGGTAGGTGTTTTGGTAATTAAAAATATTTTCAAATGGCAGCACTGCTTCTGTATACTGTTTATTCTATGGTACAAGGTATATTTAATAAGGTAGAAGTGACAACTAGCTCGAACTCTCTTGTAGCTAGTTATAATGTCAAAAAACTGTAAGCAAACAAATTAACCCTATGAGGTGCGAGTCCTATGTTCGCTACAAATTAGCATCAATTGAAACTCATCATGGTGAAATTATACCAGGTTAGTAATAAGAGCGAGATGAAAGATTTGACCCTATCTTATTTGAAAATTTGCCTTTAAAAATTTGTATAAGATAGCCGAATATCAGGAAAATAAAGCGAGACAGATTTTTTATTACTTCACCTACTTATAATTTCACCATGGAAATGCATCAGCATAAATACATACATATGTATGTACGTATACTAATTTTAAGGATTACTTCAATATTACCTTAAAAGAATTTTAGCTGCATTCGCATCTTATATGCACATATACTACATATGGACAGAAAAGAATACCTCATAAAGGAAACCACGTAATTAAATGAAAGAAATGTTTTATGAAACTGTTTCAAACATTTTTTGTTTCTATTCGCCCAATGTTTTTGCGCGTTTAGTTTCTTTATTTAAATATTTATGTACTTCTAAAAAACATCCGCACCTATAAAAAACGATTTAATGTTTTCTTCTACATAGACATGTATATCAGTGTAAACCTAGGTCCTGACGTGGTTATGTGTGCAGAATTTTTTAAGAAACTACTCTTACTCAGTTCTGAACTTTCGTTTGCTTCAGGCATTTCAGGCACAGGAACCTCCCAGGGCATGGGAACTGAACCTGGGTATAAACGCATGCGCAAGTAAGAAAATCACTCGCATTGAAATGATTTCCACAGAACCGCAGCTATTCTCCCAACGAAGTCTTCTAACTTCGCAACTAGGCGCCTTAAAGTATCGCACCACTTTAACATATTGGCTCTTGCCACACACAATACAACGCTGGTAGTTCCTGCTCCTTTTCATTTTTGTATATGTATGTACCTATAAATTCATGTGGTCGAAAAACAAAAAATTTCACACAATTCACAACTATCTCACGGCACTCAATTGAATTTTAATGAAAAATAGAAAATGTCAGCTTGAAAAGGGTTAAAAGTTATTCATCATTTGACATTATAGTCGGTGTTCAAAAGAGAGAAATGTCAAAATCACTTCTACCTTGTTTAATATGCCTTGGTATGTACCATGATACAAATATTTAAAGGTAGTTTCACTTCTTCTTATTCGGCATTGCACGTAAACTGTGCTTTTGACATTTTCTTTTAAATTGAAGCTACCATATTCTGAAGAAATTAAAAAAGTGGTTTTTACAAGGCGTATTTAACAAGGTGGTGTTGGCCGTATATAAGTAAAAAATTACACTAACAAATTATACGCTGATGTCCATACTGTCATTGGTATGAGTTACAACAAACACATCATTTTGACGTAATGGCCTCCACGGCGAAAAACTCAGCTGTCGCCCCAACACCACCTTGTTTAATACACCTTGGGTTTTTACTTCAAAAAAAAATATGTCAAAAAATAATTAAAAATTATAAGAAAATATATTTTGAGCATCATTTTGTAGCGAGCTTTTAGTGATTTATTTCTAAAATTAAATATAAAACGGAATACTAGCAAAATACTTGTATTACATTGTGTACTGCAAATAGAGAATCTGTTTGTTTATGCAATTATTTTCATCATTATTTAGTACGATTAGCTGCATATTTCGGGATGGCCACGTGCATGGTAACTTCACAAAGGTGTTATTTGTTTATTCCAACCACTTTTCGGCAGACAATTTTCAGCCTCGGGACGGATGTGCCCAATTGAAGCGACACGCGGCACCAGCAGCAGTAGAGCAAGTAGTTTATCCGTCTATTAGCTATAGCAAGGAGCTCTAAGAATTAGGAGACTTTATTACCTCCCCTTTCATGGCTACATCATGCGTTATT